TTTCCCTATACCTCTAGCTTCTGGTGGAGCCGGCCACTTGAAGACCACAGAGCTCTGATATAATAAAATAAAAGACCCAGGTCCTCGAACTAGATCAGCCTCTAATCTGATCTATCCTAACATACGCTCAGCTCCCTAAGCACCATCAGGGCCCTAGACAAACCCCTGGCAAGAGAGGGGGAAAAACTCACAACTCCCAAGTAATAGCTCCTATTCACTACAAAGTTGGTTTGTGTGCACACCTCTCTGCCTGTCCGCCCGTTTGCTGTTCACGGCTGGAAACTTGTGAAGCTTTAGCCCTTGAAAGGTTTACTGTCCTAAATAGTACATACAAATATTTCTATAGCTAACAAGTACATCTTTGCCAAGCAGTCATACCATCTTGTATTCTAACACCAAATAACCTTGGCTTCTCTGAAAATTGTGCTGCATTATGAAGATTAGATTTCCACATCATTTCCTTTCTCCTCCTACTGCTGATGTGTAAAGCAGATGAGCTTATGTAACGCTCCTGACGGTGGCTCTGTGCACTGAAAGACGAAAGGGAGCTCCACGTAGCAGCCCGTACTGCCCGCCCCTCCGTAAGTTCAGAACGGGACCCTACGCTTTTGTAAAGCAATGCCAGGTCTTCTCTTCCTCAAGTCCATTCTTCTGGAAAGACAACACAAAAACACAACAAACAGCTTTCAAGGCTTACATTGAAACTCTGCGTGACCTCTTTCCTCTGCCTTTTATTTTTGCATTGCTGCACAAATGGCTAACATCAGCCATCTGCTATACACAGGCAAATAAAGTTTCTCTTCTCTTCAAAATCAGCTGTTCATAAACTTACGTTTTGTCTCTTTCTCCTAGAACGCGCAACGTACACCTAAGATTTCTCTGCAAGAATGCAGAGATGGAGGGAGCAAACTATACCCATCTCTATGCTTGGAAGAGCTTATACATTGCTTGTATATCTGAGTCCTCATGTACAATACTTATGTATTATCCTATGTCCCGTGTGCCTGCCATTGCAATTTCTTCCTTCCTACAGTTTGTAACAATGCCTTAACAACTAGGGAAAAAAAAAACCCAGCCCTTTCTAGTTCCAAACGTGGCCCAGCCAGGATTTAAGATTAGCTTCAGAAATAGCCCTGCATTTTTACAACCCGTTCTGCACTTCACACAATTTCCCCTTTTCCTCCTTGCTGGGAGAGAGCGGAAGCACCGAGACACCGATTTTACAAATTCCACGCGTGCCGGCCGCCACGCTTCTGGGGAGCGCCGCAAAACGGCCCGAGGACGCCCGGCCCCAGCCCAAACTCGCCACACCCAGGGAGCAGGGAATCTGTACGGCCCCACGGAGGCTGCTCGCGATGCACAAAGCAGTCAAGCCGAGGCAAGAACTTCCCTTTCTCTCATCTGACTCAGTGATAACTTTACATATTGCTTTCAAACCGATTTCCCTGCTCCCTAGACGAGCCTGACTGTATTTTAATTTGATTCCGCGCCCTCACACATAACATTTCCTTAAGTTCTGGGCACGCTGAGACGTATCCAGATGGACACTGCCATTTGTGAAACTCTAGCTCAGGGGCTAGTAAGGCCTGAGCGGAAAAAAATTAGGAGGAAAAAGCTTTTTTCCCCCCCCCCCCCCCCATTTACCTCACACATAACATTTCCTTAAGTTCTGGGCACGCTGAGACGTATCCAGATGGACACTGCCATTTGTGAAACTCTAGCTCAGGGGCTAGTAAGGCCTGAGCGGAAAAAAATTAAGAGGAAAAAGCTTTTTTCCCCCCCCCCTCCCCACTTTGCTCGAGTCACAGCCTTTCCTGGCTACTTCCCAGCCCTCCTGCGAGCCCGGGGTTGCGATGGGCGCTCAAGCCTGGCTCCCAGGGCACGGAGAGCGGCAGGAATCTGGAAGGCGCCGCAAGGCACACACGCGAGTCAGTACTTTCGGCGCTGCCTCTGCTCTTCGACCCAACAGGCAGGACTTTTGTTTTCGGGAGCGCGTGGCGCGTCTCGGCGCTGCCAAAAGTTGCGGGAGGGCCAGGCCGGGAGGGCGGTAGTTCCTGCCACGTCCGACGGCGCGGCCGCGCCATCTCCGCCGCTCACCTGCCCCCTCCCGGCACCCCCCGG